CAGCAAAGCTGGTGTTCGATGTTATCCAATATCCTTTGCAAATAAGTAGAGTGATTTAAGGTTGCCTGCATTGATAATTTCTCATTTTTTAGATTCAAATCATTGCGTGCGTAGTGTTGGTAGCTTAAAATATTTTAATCTATTAAACCAAGGATTGAGAAGTATAGAAAGGTTTACGTCAGGTTTCTAAATTATGTATTTTGGTCCTTAACTACTCCACGTTCGATCCCGAATTGGAGAATGCGGTCCTCTTTGCTGTTGGAAATACTCTCGTCTGCGACGAACTTGAAGAAGCCAAGGTTCTTAGCTGGACCGGAGAGAGATTTAAAGGTATGTTCCTGTTACTTTCTTTACTCATATACTTGCACTAAAGTTGGCTTTACTTTTTATGTATTCTGATTTCTATTATTTTTAGTTGTGACTGTTGATGGTATATTACTCACAAAGTCGGGCACAATGACTGGTGGTACCAGTGGTGGAATGGAAGCTAAGTCTAATAAATGGGATGATAAGAAAATTGAAGGTTGGTTTGTCACCAGCTGGGTTAAAGCCTCTTCACTTCTGATTTAGTGTCTTAGAGCCAACATTCGTTTATGCAGGATTGAAGAAACAGAAAGAAGATTATGAACTACAGTTAGAAAATATTGGATCGATTCGAGAAATGCAGATGAAGGAGTCTGAAATATTGGGAAAAATAAGTGGACTTGAGAAAAAGATTCAGTATGCAGAAATTGAGAAGGTAACAACCAGCTTATCTTTCCCAAGATGAGTGGGTCTCATATATCTTACTTGTCAAGGGAACACTGATTGGATAAGAATGCCATACATTAGGACAAATTTTATCTAAATACTAATTGGCGATTTTTTTAACAGAAAAGCATCAAAGATAAACTTCCACAGCTTGAGCAGGAGAAGGGGATTATTATTGAAGAAATTAAACGCATCGAACCTGAAGTCTTGAAGGCAATTGTCTATCTTTTCTGATATTTGGTAGAGTTAAAACCTGATGACAGTAATGACTGAATGCTGTTGGTATCTATTGTAGGCAAAAAATCAGGTCGATAAGAGAATTACAGAAATGAAGAAGTTGGAGAAAAGAATCAATGAGATTGTTGATCGTATCTATAAGGATTTTAGCCAGTCTGTTGGGGTTGAAAACATACGCGAATATGAAGATACTCAGCTGAAGAATGCTACATTGGAGGCTGAAGAAAGGCTGGGCCTGAGTAACCAGCTTGCTAAGTTAAAATACCAGTATGTCTCTTCTGCTCTGTTTTTCTGTTTACATATCAGATCTAGTCAAACTTCACATATACAGTGTTAGTCACTTTCGATTTTTTTGCCCATTTCTGTGCTAACATATAGCTCTGATTCTGAAGTCAACTCGCATCCCTTTTTCTGGTAAAACTAAACACGATGTGTGTAAGGGTCAGTGTCCTGTTGCCTGTAAAAACCTGTGTTAGAAAACGCTGCTACATGCTAACTGGTTGGCTGAGTTGGAATACTGCTTTCTATTGTATGGAGCTTGAGTTTGTAACTTTGTACAATAAGAGTAAAGTAGTAATTTAATTGGTTCATGAGTATCTCTTTATCAAATTCCAGGCTGGAATATGAGCAAAACCGAGATGTGGGGTCACGAATTCGAAAGCTAGAGTCTTCTATCAGTTCTTTGGAAACTGATTTAGAAGGTATACAGAAGACGATGTCTGAAAGGAAGGAGACAGCAGAAAGAATTACTAATGAAATTAACAATTGGAAGATGGAAATAGGAGGTATGTTGATTCTATTTTTACATAAATCTGATGGCCTTTTCAGTTCTATGCTTTTCTTCAAACTCAGTGTCCTTTTGAGTTGTCAATTTGAGGATTTCATTCGTAGCAAATATTAACATGATAGTAAAAGTACATTGTCTATATCTGATCTGAGTTTACTTCAGCTATATTTTTGGCCTTATGTTGGTTCCCTGTTACTGGATGATATATTCAAAAATGGAATTTTCTTATTCTTGTAGGGGTTATATGTCTTTAGATGCCTTTTTCTACCAATTTTCTGTTTGCATTACTTGATCTCCTCGACATCTTGTGTAAATGTGTGGTTACGCTACATCTTAATCTAATTCAGAAAGAAAGCTATCATACATAAGATAAAAATACTCGAGGCTGACAGATAGTTGATGTGAAGATTTAGTATGATTCTCTTCCTTGGCTTTTGCTTGTACAAGCATAAGTTACAGAACCATATAATTTGATTATCACCTTATCTGTCTAATGTTTTTTGCCGAACAAAAAGCCTGCACTGGTATCTTGTTTCTCAGAGGTGTGCTATCTAATGCTCTTGCTTGCAGAGTGCAAACAAAAGTCGGAGGAGTATGAGAAGGAAATCCTGGATTGGAAAAAGCAGGCTTCTCAAGCAACAACAAGCCTAACCAAGGTCATTCGTCAAATACATTCGAAGGTACAATGAAGATTCATCAAATCTAAAGATCTGTTATGTCTGAGTATAGATTCACTAAAGCTTCCATATGCTATCAGGAAACTCAAATCTCGCAGCTGATCTCGCAGAAACAGGAAATAATTGAGAAGTGTGAGCTCGAACATATTACCCTTCCTGTTTTATCAGATGCGATGGAAGAAGACGACTCAGATGGGCCACAGATTGACTTTAATGAGTTGGATGGAGCTTATCTCCATGAACGGAGACCATCTGCTCGTGAAAAAGTGGAGGCGGAATTTAGGCAGAAAATAGAATCTAAGACATCAGAGATTGAGAGAACAGCTCCAAACTTGAGAGCGCTTGACCAGTATGAGGCTATACAAGAGAAAGAAAAACAAGTAAGCCAGGAGTTTGAAGCGGCCAGGAAAGAGGAGAAGCAAGTAGCGGATGCCTATAATACTGTGAAGCAGAAGAGGTAACTCAAAATGACTCTTCTAAAATGATCTTTAGAGCTTCAAAGAACATTGTTACCAAATATCAACGACTGAAGATTCAAGACTTCTAGTTCTGTGAATATTAACTGACAAAGTTACTGTTTGGATACAATGCACACAAATGTGTGCACACATGCACATGTACAAAGAACACTTCAGTTTTTGCAAACTAAATTCATATATTCCATTATGGCTTCTTCTGCTCATTTCAAATTGTTGTGCAGGTATGAGCTATTTATGGAAGCTTTCAACCACATTGCTAGCAACATTGACAAGATTTATAAGCAACTAACCAAGAGTAATACGCATCCACTGGGTGGGACTGCTTATCTAAACTTAGAAAATGAGGATGATCCATTTCTACATGGTATAAAGTATACTACAATGCCCCCAACAAAGCGATTTCGTGATATGGAGCAGCTCTCTGGAGGAGAGAAAACAGTTGCGGCCTTGGCTTTGCTCTTCTCCATCCACAGGTATCCTCAGTGTCCTAGATATCCAGTTTGTTTCAATGTTAACAGTGAGTTTGTAGGTATATATTGATTAATCTCTAATAGTCTCACCTATGGAAATTAGACTAGCAGATGTTGATCTTTGCACATGAAATTTGTAATTTGTCTCTGGAACCAATCAGATTTATCGGACTCCTTAGCAACAAACTTTGGTTTTGTACTGGAACTGACATCGTTTTAGGTTTCCTGTTCCTAGTAAAATACCCATATCTTCAAAGTCAGTTTTATTTTCTTTATGATCTGAGATTTGGCCACCGGTTGTGTAAATACAGTAGTTGTTTTGCAAAGGATGTAAACCATGGTCGGTTGTTCTGAGGTATTGATGAAGTTTATGTTGCTGTAATCCTTTTTATGTTTCAGCTATAGGCCTTCACCCTTTTTCATACTTGATGAAGTGGATGCTGCTCTTGATAATTTAAACGTGGCAAAAGTTGCTAAATTCATTCGTAGCAAGTCATGCCAAGCAGCACGTGACAACCAGGATGCAGAGGATGGGAATGGCTTCCAAAGCATTGTAATATCTCTCAAGGACAGCTTCTATGACAAGGCGGAAGCTCTGGTTGGAGTTTACAGAGACACGGAGAGGAGGTGAGGATTTCTATATCAGTCTTCTTTACAAAGTGTCTACTTATTTTTTCATGGGTACCAGCAAAATTTAGAATAATATCTGAGAAAAACTCGTTGGTGATTCATTTGCAGTTGCTCGAGTACAATGTCATTTGACCTTAGGGGATACGAAGAATCGTGATTGGTTCGACAACCCTCGAGGTTGTAGGGTTTAGGTAAGTATAATAAACCCTAACTTTGTATATATAGCAAGTACTGAATGGTGTTATGATTTCTAGTTTTTTTTTTTTTTTTTAAATCTGTAGCATACAATGTTGAAAGGTAATTTTCACAGTAGTATGGTTAATTATTTGCGATTTGATGCCGGCATAGGACCTTCAAAGATCTGACACTGTAGAAAATGTGGACCATTTTCAAAATTTGATATTAGAAACTCTTGTTTATCTTAGTTTGGATCTAGTTGACGTCCGTATATATTTGGAAATACGTTTTGGAGACTACGTATTTTTTCTTTTTTTCACAAGGAGACGAAGTGAAACAAAAAGTTTCTTTAATTTGGACAAGGAATCAAAATCAAAATAATCAAAAGCCATATATGTCGTCCCATCGACTTTAAAAGAAAGATCGTAGAGTATAAATCAGCCATGAATCCTATTGGGCTTAACACAGACAAAGCTAGAAATTGAAGAGGTTTGACTTTTCAGACTCAAGATTTAGGTATGTACAGTATAATCTTAATATTAAAACTCGTAATCATATATTAACGGATAAGATGTAACTGAGCTTCAGAATTAGTCCGTAATTGATGTATGTCTTATTTTCCAACTAATTAAAAAAATTGGATAGCTACGTGTCAGATGCCTAGGAGTGACATCACTTGCGTCTTCTTTTTTCCCTTGTCCTCTTCGTCGTAATCATTAAAAAAGTAATCTCAAATTTCAAAAAAACAAAATTAAATTAAATAAAGAAACCAGAGGAGGGAGGAGGAAGCAAAGAGAAAAAAAAAAAAAAAAAAAACAAAAACAGAGAGATACATCAATCAATCATTCATTTATTCTTAGTTCTTCCTCTCTTCTGCTTCTTCTTCTTCTTCTTCCTTGTTTCATCCCACAAAATCTAGCATTAGAAGAAGCTTACAGAGAGATAGAAAATTCGATCATTCGAAGCAGAAAACAAAAAAATTGAATGGCGGCAAGAGCCAATAACAAATACGCCTCAATCAACTTCAACCACATCCTCCACAAAGATCCTCCTCCTTCTTCTTCTTCCTCTTCTCCGTACTCTTCCACCTCCTCCCCCGCTTCTTATTCCTCCGTCGCTCGTTCCAATGGCCGTATGCTCGTCCTCACCAAACCTTCCCCCAAACCTCTGAGATCTCCCTCCCCTGTCTCCATTACCACGCCTCCGCTCTCTCCAGCTCCGAGGATTCCGGATCAAGCCACCTCTGATCCAGATCCGAATCAGATCTCTCTTCGTCCTTTGGGTCATACCGGACCTGGCTCCTCGCTTTCATTTCCACTTCGGACTCCTGAATGCGAGAAAGTCCAGGACGTGCCTGCTCCTGCTCCGTTGATCTCCATGTCCCCGAAACCTGATAAGTTCGTGCCGCCGCATCTTAGGCCTGGTTTTGTTCGGAAAGATGAGAAACCTGGACTTGACTCTTCTCGAGTTAGAGATCTGAATCCGAATTTGAACCAGGAACTGCCACGGCAGGGATATTTCGGTTATGGACAGACCGGACGTCCCAAATCGGGCGGGTATGAGAGGGTCCGGACCGATCCGAGATCCACCGGAAACCGACCCGGCACCTCCGGATGGTATGTATGTTCATCCCTCTCGATTAATCATATAGTCCCTTAACGCAATTCAAGGGATACTAGAGTAGAGTGTCTCTAGGGATCTTAGCTCTGCCTCAATCCAACGATCTTTAGATCAATTCTACAATTTTGATAGTTTTTGCCCATAACTGATAATGGAGACAAGATTCTTCTGTTGGTTTGGATATTTGCTAAATTGTCATGAGACCTTACTAGTTTGAAGCAAAACTAAGTTGTTTGGCCTTACTAGTTTTATTAGATTCGTGTATTGGTCTAAAGGTATGTGTGTATTGATTAAGCCATAGATCTTGGAATCTATCTGTCCATTATAGGCAGCTTTATCTCTCTGTTCCGTCTTTTTGGTTGGAAAACTGTAACTAGAATTTGGTTACGTTTTGTGCAGATGAGCTTGCTGGGTTGATGTCCAGTTTACTCACTCGATGATGGAGATGTTGGAACCTTACGTAGTTACCTCTGAAACGTTAAAAAAAACAGTGACTTTTCTCATTTCTCACTTCTTTTGATCAAAACCAGAGATGATCAGAGACCACCCCAAAGATTCACAGTAGATTTGTAGTAAGTTGTTGTTTCAGGGATCAGGGTGATACTAATGACACACAATAACACTTGTCTCACTTATGTTTTTAAAAACTTTGTTTATGTACCTATAATTCTGTATTAGCACGTGTTTGTCTAGGTTTTAATCTATAGAGTCTTCTATACAGATTAAACATCTTTTGGGGTTTATTAAGAAAAAAACATTTCTTTGTATGAAGGCCATTCTTCTTATTACCTGACTCGAAGCTGATTTTTAATAACAATAGCTAAAAAGAGGAGGAAATATATTTGAAGTCATCTAATTCCTATTCTTGATCCCTTACAAGTTCCATCTCTAGTTGTTTTCTTCTTTTCTTAGAATAGATCAACTTCTATACAACACAATGGACGATGGAACTCAAAACACATTCAATAGAAAGAGATGATTTTAAACTATGAAATAAATTGTAAAACCAAAATAAGATAGAGTTTAAACCGGATCAGAAATGAATTTAAAACCAAAACCGAACCAAACATTTGTTGGAACACCTTTATAGTTTCGGCCGTAATAGTAGTATTTAAATTTTGCAACGAAAAAAGATCTGAACTAATTATACACACCTTCGCTGTAATTACCACCGATCACGAGAACGAAATAACTCGGGAAATTACAAATTTGCCCTCCGTCGCCATTAATACACTCTAGGAGATCTCTCTATCTCTCCCTCTCGCAGCACAAAGCAATCAAAGGTTCCCTCGGAGATCCAACAATGGGATCTCTTCCACCGACATCCCTGGATTTCTCATCAATCGATCACAATTCCCTCAAAAATGGCGGAGCCAGCCACCACCAACATCATCAAGAGATCTCCCGCGAGAATCTCCTCAACCTCTTCACATCTCAGCAAGATCTTCTCAATCACTTTTTCAAACATCTCGATCTCTCCCAAACCCTAGATTTCTCACGCATTCTCCTCTCCACCGCCGGCACCGTCTTCTTCACCGGCGTCGGTAAATCCGCTTTCGTCGCCAACAAGGTTTCCCAAACGCTCGTCTCTCTCAGCTTCCGTTCCTCTTTCCTCTCCCCTCTCGATGCGCTTCATGGAGACATTGGCGCCCTTTCTCCTCGAGATGTTCTCGTTTTCTTCAGCAAATCTGGCGCCACTGAGGAGCTTCTCCGTCTTGTCCCTTGCGCTAGAGCTAAAGGAGCCTTTTTGGTGTCTCTTACCTCTGTTTCTGGGAATCCACTTGCTGCTGTTTGTGATATGAATGTGCATTTGCCTCTTCAGAGAGAATTGTGTCCGTTTAATCTCGCTCCCGTGACGTCTACGGCGATCCAGATGGTGTTTGGTGATACCATCGCCGTTGCTCTCATGGCGGCCAGAAATCTTTCCAAGGAGGAGTATGCATCTAATCATCCCGCCGGTAGGATCGGCAAGAGCTTAATCTTCAAGGTTTGGTTCGATTATCTAAGTATTCTGATTTGGTCATAGATAAGCTTAAGAATATGTAGGTTTGGTTTATAAATATTCCAAGTGATCAATTCAACAATGGGGATGAATATGAATCTATTAGATGTGTTTGTAGGTGAGAGATGTAATGAAAAAGCAAGAAGAGCTTCCTGTGTGCAAAGAAGGAGACTTGATAATGGATCAACTAGTGGAGCTGACCAGCAAAGGATGTGGATGTTTGCTTGTGGTTGATGAACATCATCGCTTGATCGGTACATTCACAGATGGAGATCTTCGCCGGACTCTCAAGGCAAGTGGAGAAGCAATCTTCAAACTCAGTGTTGGAGAAATGTGCAACAGGTGAGGAAGGCTCTGCTTTTCTTATCCTATGAACGTTGGTTAGTGTATGTTTTGATGATTTTGAATCATTTGTTGAAACAGGAAGCCTAGAACAATTGGACCGGAAACAATGGCAGTCGAAGCTATGAAGAAAATGGAGTCACCACCTTCGCCTGTACAGTTTCTACCTGTGGTCAATGATGACAACACCTTGATTGGAATTGTAACATTGCATGGTTTAGTTTCAGCTGGTCTCTGAACACGAAAGCGCCTCTATACCAAGTTTTATATAGTTGATTCTTTTAATATTGGTGTATTTCCATATTCACAGCCAGTGAATTGTATTGTGTCTAGTTGTACTTCATGTAATGTCCATCATTTACTCAAAAGATATGTATAGAGAGTATAAGAAAATACTTGTATCTTTGTCTTATCTTACCATCATTTTCTTCTACTCTTTCTGTCATATACACCTTATGAAGCTAACTGCAACGTCTTTCCTATTGTCAGACAGCGCTTAGTACCATTCTGATGAGACCATTTATCAAAATGAAAATGCAGTGGTTGTGTTTGATTGAACAGAGTTTGGCTAAAGAAACTGAAACAATGCAGTTTTTGTTTTGCAGACCACTATTACACAATTTTGCTTGGTGTTACTGTTTGGATGTTTGAGACTACAAACATTTCTTCTCTAGTTCAGTATCGAAACACAGTTACATCATATGAGCTTTCCGTTTACTCTATTTTCATTTTTCATAAAGAACATCAGAAAGCGGTTCTAAAAATTCTAAAACCAAACCAGAACAGATATGTAAGAGAATTAGATCCTATTGCATTTAACGATCAATAATAAGTATAAAGAACAAATTTGAGTAGCTTGTGAGAAGAAATCTGAAGAAGGAAAGAGAGGTAGAGAGAAAAATATTAAAAAAACAAAGTCTTTTAGAATCTCTATGCAGTGGCTGGCGCCGTATTGTTACTGTTGTTGTTGCTGGTGCTGCTGATTTCATCATGTTGCTCGTTCTCACCGGACATTTCCTCGAGAGACTTTCCTTTAGATTCAGGAACCAACAGTGTAAAAACCATCCCCAAAAGATTAACCACACCCAAAACAATGAGCGAGTTCTTGACTCCAATGCCCGGAGGATATCCATGCTCTGTCTTGTTCTTGTCAGGACTTTGCGCTAAGTACAAGAAACCAAACGCACCAACCATTGCTCCTAACTTTCCAGACGCTGCGGAAATTCCATGGCAGGTTGATCTAAACCTAGCCGGGAAGATCTCAGCGGGCACGACGAAAGTTGTTGCATTGGGTCCAAAGTTTGCGAAGAAGAATGTTAAAGAGTACATTGCCACAAATCCGATTCTGTTATCCTTGTGAGTCCAGTGGTCGTAAGGAATGGCGAGAGCGAACATAAAGACGGTCATGAAGAAGAAACCCATCATCTGTATCGCGAATCTACCAATCACGTCGATGAAGGCCACAGTGAACCAGTAACCGGGTACCGTGCTGCACATGGCGATTAGGGTTTGTGCACGTGCGATCTTGAAAACCTCTTGAATCGCATTCATTGTCTGTGCCGGAGGGATCCATCCGATCGCGCTGAAAATATCTTTCTGGAAAAGGTTCTGACTGTAGAAGGCAATGTCGAGTAGGAACCATGTGCTTGTGGTTCCGAGCAAGTGTAGGCCATGGCGTTTCATGAATTCCTTGGAGAACAAGCCGAATGAATTGGACTTATCTTCACTTTTCTGCTGGTCTGCTTCGATCTCCACTTGCAAAACCTTAGACATGTTCGACGCCGCTAGTTTCGCATCCTTAGCCACAAGAGCCGTGTACCGTGCGGTCTCAGGCATCTTCGACCTCGAGTAATACGTCATTGCCGCTGGTAAAGCTCCCACCATCAGAATGATCCGCCACACGTAATCTGCCTGAGGAACCGTAGATGCCAAGGCATCAACTTGATATGCTGGAGATGGAAACTTAGCCTCGAAAGCCGCAGCCACAATGATGGCAAAAATCCCCCCGGTCAAGATTCCAAACCCTTGCATAGCAAAAACCGCGGCTATGAAAGCACCACGGGTCTTTTTATTGGCGTATTCGGACATAATCGTGGCGGATAACGGATAATCACCACCAATGCCGAAACCAAGCCAGAACCGGAAGAAACAGAGCGTGGTCATCACTGTTTTAGGGTCACTCCCAAAGGATAGACCGGAGGCGACGGAGCAAAGGACCATGACCATGAGGGTCATGCCGTAAACTTTTTTCCTCCCGAGTTTGTCACCAAGCCAGCCAAAAAAGAGCTGGCCGGCGAGTGTACCACAAAAAGCGACTCCGTTCACCGCAGCGGAGACGTTTGGAGGCAGCGTTCCGGGCTTCTCTGCGCCGTCCACGTGGTAGTAAATGCGACCAAGAAGCTTAGTGACGAGGGAGATACAAAAAAGATCGTAAGCGTCGGTGAAGAATCCCATACCGGCGATGATAATCGCCGTGAAATGGTACCATTGCGTTTTGGCAACGTCGAGTGCATTTAGCACGTTTAGTTGATCTCCTGCCATTGCTCTCTTTCTCTTTATTCCCTGTGTTAATTTTGAGAAAACACAATCAGCATCATAACTCATAAGCCTGTTCCCCACACATTTTATTAATTAGTAGAAAGAGAACTATTAGCATTTCAAAAATGTTTTACGAATTCGTCATAACTGTTATAACAATGGTGGAACAAAGACTTAACAATTTCCAAGATTTTATAACAGAAAAAATAAATATAGAAAAGAGATTCATCAAAATTTTAGTGTCTTTTTGGAGTATGTGCAAAGGTTGACTTGTTACGCGTGGAACTGAAAAAGGGGCACGAAGCTAAGTAAGATGGTGACGCAGACCGACAAGAAAATTTAATCATTCCGTAAAATCTCCATGACAAGACAAACCAAGCTCAACGACAAGGAAACCCTTTCAATGTAATTTTGCCGGAAAAAAATGATCCAAGAAAGAATGTTTACGAAAGCATAATAGACACTACACAATACCACACATACACCAAAAAAACGTATCATCAACAATTTCGTAAAGTTCTTGTATATCTCTAATCTAGTAAGAGATTGCGGTAACAGAATTAAACAAAAACAAAGAACCAAACGGTTGCATATATAACCTCACTTGTCTCATTCAAACAACAAATCATAAAAGTAACATAACAATGAAAGAAGAAACTTACAGAAAGAGTATTTTATTTAGCTTACTTTCTCGCAAAACAATCTCTTATGTGTAGGATTGTCTCAGAGGAAGAGAAAGAAGAGATAAGATAATATGTGTTTTGATGCTTGGTTTCAGAAAATGTAAGAAGGAGACATAAGAAATGGGTTGTGAAATGAAAGAGAGGCAGCGTCGGGAACGGCCTACTTATACGTGATCATATATTTTTTTGTTTCTGTTTTAGTTTGACATATTCTTGTGGTATATTCTTCTGACAACGACGTCGTTTGCTTCTCCTTTGACTACTTCTTCTGTTCTCCACCTTTTCTTTCCTTGTTTTAGGACACACATTTGGTTCTTCTGTTTTGCGGTTATAATTTTCCTTTTTGTTTTACTGTCTTTTTCCATATTTTAAAGAGTCACACATGGTTACAAAAAAAGTCGTTTTAAGTATTAATTTTCGTATATTCTTAGGTGAAGAAAAATAATATTCGGACACATGAGCTGTTAATTTTTTTTTTTTTGGTAATTTATCCGAATTTAGTGCTGAATTTGTAAGAGAATACAAAACTTTAACAGTCGCAAGATAATTATTGTGATCATAAATAGTAGAGAATTGAAGTTTTATTCGTTTTAATATTCTTGATCCCTTTTCATACATTATTTTTGTAGGGATTAACATTAGTAGAATATAATACATTGTATTTAACCATAGTTACTTTGTAAAATAATAGAGAAAAATATACAAGTAACAAGAGAGAGCAAGGAAATTAGCGGGAACCAACGTTTAGAATCGGTTTAGTGACGTGGCAAATTTTGCACCTTTCTTCTTCCACCTCTTGTTCACCTTAAAAACCCTAATTTACACTAGCCGTTGCTCTCTCTCTCTCTCCCTTTGACTCTGACTCCTTCACTTCCCTAACCTCTCAGCAATGAGCTCTTCTGGAATCGAATCAGTGAAGCAAGCTATGGTCTCGGAGTCGTCGAACCCGGAGTTGCTGTTCTCTACCAAGACTCCTAACAAACTCGTTAAAAGACAGATCTTTTCTTCGTCCCCAAAACCTGAAATCGTTGTCAAATTACCCGAAAGGTGAGATTGATTGATTGATTGATTGATTAGTTCATACAGTGTTCTTAAAGTTGGACTCTTTTTAGGTTTTCAATTTTTATTGATTTTTGTTGTTGTTGTTGGGATTTACAGATTCGAGATTCTGGAGGTATTTTTCAATGGGTTGGACACTGCAATTAGGTTGCTTAAATTGAAGGGTTCTTTGACGACATTTGCCAACATATGTCCCAAGATTGAGTATCTCACTAATCGGTAAAGCTATTGACTTTTACTAGCTCTTTCTCTCTCTCTTTTTATTTTTGGTTTGGAGATTGCCAATTCAACAGAGCCTGGTGGATCTTGAGGATTTAAAGGATTGAACTTTTGATGCATCTGATCTATCTAATGTGTGTCTTTTGTTTGATTGTATTTGATTAATTTTGTTTGGTCAATGTGGGTGTCCAGGATATTCTCTTATGATCATTTGGCTCAGATGAAGCATATTTATCCAGAAGCCATCGAGCTTAAGAGAGTTCTAAAGTCTGTTGAAGACACTTGTTGTATGAAACCTAGTCTTCACGTTAACTTAAATACCGACGCAATTGTGCTTGACAACAAAACTTGTGGAACTAAATACATGGAACTTAGGAAGCTGTTCCACTCAAAGCTTGTTGATTTTTACAAAGCTCATCCTAAGGTACCTATTAGGCTTCCCTTATCGATACTGTAGTTGTAGCTTTTGGAGAAATGCTTTTACATCTGATTTGGTTATTTATCTTCTGTTATCTGTATTCAGGACGATATTCCCAAAGAACTGCTTCCTGAACCGTTTAATTCCCCCAGAAGGGATAGTTATTCAGATACAGTAAGTGTCGGCTTAGGAGCACCTAAACTTGAAGTTGGAGGGTTTGATGTTCATATGGAGGAGATGGAGCAAGAAGAAGAAATAGTCAACAACACAGTGATTTCAGATTTGACTTTATCAGATGGAACTAAAGAAGGCTTATTATCACACATAGAGTCGAGTATAGTTCAAACCCCTGTCAAAGATTTATCCACTCCCTCCAAAGACTTGTCCACACCAATCCGGGTCATGAGTGCTACACCAACATTGCAGCTATCTAAAAGATGCATTGAGTTTACTCCAGATGGTGGTGTTGATGGTAAATCTGTTAGATCAACAAATAGTTTGGCAAAGGGTCCATCCCGCAGTCTGAATTTTGATAGTTTTGAGGAAGATGCATTTGTGAAAGCTGACATCGGTAACGAATCTTATGATGAAGCTGATGATGCCTCTGATGAAGATAGCCGCCTTCAGTCAGTAAAGGGTCCATCTCGCAGTCTGAACTTTGACACTCTTGAGGATGACGCAACTGTGACAGATGAGATCAGTAAAGGAATCAACTTTGAAGCTGATGATGTTGCTGATGAAGATGGTCTTCTTCAGTCAGTAAGTGATGCTTTCCCTTGCTACCATTTTGCTTTCACATTTTTTCCGGCTGATTGTATGAATGGATTGATTTGATTTCAGTTGCAAACCGTGTTGAAACAGCCATCCTTACTTACTACCATTGTGTGTGTCTTGCAGATGAAAGAGAGACCAAAGACTGAACTCGAGAAGGAAAATTTACCACAGCTTGTTAATTTGATTCATAAATTGTTTCACTCAACAAAGCAAGCGGTCATCACGAAGGAGGAGCTTCTTCACAAGATTATTGCAAGCCAAATCCATATAACCGATAGAAGTAGGGATAATTAACATCGTATTTTTTGATAATTCCTCTGTCTCTTATTCCTTCACAGGCTCACAGTTTCTTTGTTTGTTTGAATTCCCAGGGGAAGTGGAGGAACAATTAAGTTTGATGTTGCAATTAGTTCCGGATTGGATCACTGAAACAAAAGCATCTTCTGAGTATGTTCTTGTTCGGTGAGTACTATGTTCCACCAAAAATGACTATGATCTTTTTGCTTCTTGAGGCACTAATATTTGTATGTACATCTTTTGCTTTTTGCAGCATCGATAAAATGTTGGCTGCTGAAACAGTACGTGCAAAACTTGAAGAAGCAACTTCACAGGACATTTCAATTGTCTACTGAAAAACTCATAAAACTGAATGTTTTTGCGTTATTATCCTCTTAGCTCAATCATCATTATTCTTCACAAAGTAGCTTCTTTCTAAGCTGCTTCAACCAATAAACTTGTAATATTCATTTATAAACATAATAACATGTTTTGAATTCGAGACAAAACTTCATTTAATGATGCTAAATTCTACTACATATGAGAACAAGAAGTGTAATAGTCGATGGTGGATGTAAATTTGACTCTCAAAGAAAAGAGTGTTTGAGACTGATTGTGTAAGAAGATTGGCAAGGGATCGAGGTTCGTCGTTAGATCTTCTTTGAATCAAAAATCTTTGAGACTAAATTTGGAAGATAAGTACTAAAGCTAAGGATCAAAAACCAAAGGAAAACACAGTCATCACTGTCCAATCATTGGCATCTGAGAAGATAGATAGAGAAACGTTTGAAGGGAAAAGTAAAGGACCATCCACTAATGAAAGAAAAGATTCTACTTCATCTAAAAAAGTAATTGGATTGGATTGTTAAAAAGATGATGAATGAGCTAGTGGCAGTTGGTATGTTGATGTTCTTTAGATTTAACTTCACATGTCTAAATTTTTGTCAAACGTCATCCACTTAAGATGCATAGTTTAAGGATTCATGATGATCAACAACAATTTGGTGGATGAAAGCATAAGTGACTTAAAGTAAAGTAATGAACAAAAACGAAACGACATATTTAAGAATTTGGAAATCTTGGTAGATTTGTGGTAAAGCTGAGCACTTTAAAAGTAGTTAATAGTGGAGAAGATAGAGGAACAAATGAAACCCCATGGAACACTACATTGGAAAGTTGATAAGAGTTCCCCATTATAATTATAAGCCTTTACAATGATAAATAAAGTAGCTTACATGGTGGTTATTCTTTCTTTATTACTTTTAAGAAAGGATTTGTTCTTTGCCATGATAATTTAAAGTTGTTGATATTAAACCTAAGATTCTTATAAACAAATTAAAGAAGTTGATATTAGTCATGAAAGTGTTGAATATGATTAGATTATAGTGTTAAGTTCATAAGGCGTTATTCTACTACAATCTACTCTACAGTCACACTATATACACAAAAGAGAAGTCTCTAGATTTTTTCATGTGAACCCTCCTTTAAGAGCTTTGCTTGCTCTCTGTATTGCTCTTGATACTCTCCATATCTCATGCTCAATTACTCCTTCTGATGCGTCTATCGCAATCGCATCTGCTATTCCCGGGAAAAATCCTAGCTTGCTCTCTGGTTCAGCCGCCGGTCCATACACCTATGCATAAACACACAAACAAGATCACATGAGATTTGAAAATTTGGTGAAATATAATTGAAAAGAAGTTAATGTTACTCACAAGATGCTTGAACCATTCCTTCCCTTTGATCCCTTGTGCATCCAAAAACCCTCTTTCGGCAAGCATCAACCTGTCATTTAGCTCTCTTCTCTTCGCTGCTGCTGCAACATCATCTTTGCTATATGATTTCTCCTTGAATTTCTGCAAATCAACCGCCAAAACATATATATAAGTTAGACCAAAAAGAGAAACATTAGTTGGCAAAAACCATTAGAAACCTTTGCTTCATCTGCGGCTTTTTTGGCAACCAAAGCGAACTCTTGTATCGCCATGCTTAAGGGATCAACAGAAACTTTCCTTTCTAAGAGCTTGCTCAATGTATCTCGATGCGCCTGAACCATGGCACAAAACAAAAACTCAGTTTCCTTCCATCCTACGTATATAAAGAGTAAGTAAAAGTACATACCTGTAATTGTCCTGCATAGGAGGTGTAGTCGAATGGTATGATTGGCTCATCAGCCAAGAGAATTCCTAAAAGCCCCCAAATTCCAGCCACTGAGAAATATAGAAAGCAAAGAAGAGAGTTAATTCTCTTTATAGCATCCATGAAAAAAACAGAACAAAGGACTAAAAAATAATATTAGATAGAAAGAGAGAAGTAGAAAAGCTTTACTAGCAACATGGCGGTGAAACAATGGATCTGCATTGTGGATCATCCAATCATAGGAGTCAAATGCGGTGTGATAGACAGGATAATCTGAGACAAGGATAAACAACATACATTATTGGTATATTACTTGCATTTAGAACATTACATTCTGGAATATTTTCCAAGGCTTAAAAGGAATCAAGTTCTGATTTTACCTGCTCCATAGTACATGTCTATAGATGGTATCCCGGCATGATGAAGAAAACCAGAAAAATCAGAATCTACTCTACTTAGCCTCTGTATCTGCAGTCACATCAAAACATTGCATAGTTTTTAGTTTTTTACATTACAATGACAAACGTAAAATCTGAAGAAGCAAAAAAACCATGTATGAGCTCTTTGAAGGATAGTCTACTCACAATGCTATTCTGAGACCTAAATGTATCTTCCACTGTCAAGCCTACTACATCAGGATCCTGTACCTGACCACACGAAGATGAATGAATACCAGAGACAAAAAGACATTTCTCGGCAGAGTAAACCACAAAAGATTTCACAATGTTTGAGAATGCTCCCATTATTAGTAGTATTACCAGCTTCAAGGCTTCTAGAAGAAGACCGTCTAATTGAGGAGTTGCACCAGCAAAAAACCCAGAGCCTTGGACCGCACAATCTACATTAAGATAAGCCACAGCACTTGCACCTAAGTAAAGAACATTTTCTTCAACCCATTCAGTTGATCCAATCTATAAGACAAACAAGAAAAAAGAGACAAAAGTGGTTTAGTGAATAATCCATCAAATAGATGCATTCATCTTTTACGAAGTAACTGATGACAAACCATTCCGAATTCTTCTGCATCCCAGCTACAAAGGAGAATGGTCCTACGAGGTCTCCAACCAGATTTAAGCAAAAGAGAGAAACGTCGGCTAATGTCAAGTAAAGCAGAAGTTCCACTGTTTGGATCAACAGCTCCATATGTCCATGCGTCTCTATGGTTCCCAAGTATCACATACCGATCCGCTTCTTCACTCCCTCTTATTGTTACCACAACATTGTGGATTTTCTTCATTTTCATCTCCCCCTTAAGTTCAAAAAAATAATTCAAATGAGCTAAAAAATCCCACTTTTCAACTAAAATCAAATCCCAAAAAAAAGAAAAAAAAAAAACAAATTGAGCTACAGTTGTAAAAAATCTCAATTCAGGTCTAATTTTAGACAAAAACGTTTTAAAAGGAAACTAAATCACATAGTGAAGGAATATAACGGAAATTTACAAAAGTCAAAACCAAGAAAACATAACGGAAATACGAAATTTCCAGAGAACCTGAAACGTCATGTTAACAACGGTCCGTCCAGGTCCAACCCGTTGACCCGATCCAACCCGACCCGAATTACGCCACACCACCGGAGCTCTAGCGCCTCCCAGAGAAGCCAAAAGGATCTCAGCATTTCGACGAGACAAAGGCAAAGATTGGATTTTTGGAAACCTCCGAGTGACCAAGTCATCATCCAAGCTCAGCTTTTCTCCTCCGACGACTCCGGGCCAACCGGGACTAACCGGATCTCCGATTCCTCTCATGACCGTACCTCTCTCAATACCGCCGAATCCACCACCGTCGTTCTCTGCGTATATTAGCACTCCCAGTGCACCTTTAGTCTCTGCTATCTTCACAATTCCTCCTCTTCCCAAGTTTTCGCCTTTCCTCACTAAAACCACACACCCTTTAACGCTCACTCCGACCGACTCAAGCGCAACGTAGTCTCTCTCCTCGCCGTGATTCACGAACACCACGTTACCCTGCGCCGACCCAGATGGAGAATAAGCATGGTAAGGCCTAACCACCGGAGAGGAGGAAGATGAAGAATCTCCTGGAGCGTCGTTTAAGTCAAACTCCATAGTCGTCGTGTTGCTAAAACGTGCCGTGACGGAGATGTGCGTAGGATAAGACAAGAGAGCCTCGTAGTCTGCGACATGGGTGTCAAGTCCGAGGCTTTGGAAATGATTTAAGACGTAGTGGAGAGTGTCTAAAGAGGGTTCAGTTCCAGCGAGGTGAGGATGGCGGGTCAAATCGCGGAGGTAAGAGGAGATGGTGGCGTTGGAAGCGGAGGAGAGGAAAAGGCGGCGGAGACCGAGGGCATTGTGGGAATTTCGAGAGAAGAGAGAAGGAGGAGTAGCGTTTGGGTGATGGAGAGTGTAGAAAGTGGCAACAAAGAGGACAATGATGAAGAGGAAAGCACAGAGCGGTGGTGGTTGATGTCGGAAAGGGAATATTGACATTCCGGCGACGGTAGGTCTGGTGGTGGTGAGAGGCGGCTGTGACATTGCACAGAGAGAGAGAGAGTGTGTGTATCAAATTGTTTTTAGTAAGTGGAGCCAAAGTAAGTGTCGTCTGTTTTTTTTTTTCTTTTCCTGACTTTTGTCTTGTTCCGTTCTTCGTGTTATTGTCTTTGTCAAACTCGGTTATTAATCTACTTTAAATGACCGGTTTTTTTTTTTTTTTGCGTAGTTACGAGAAATTGAATTTTGAAAGTACAAAGCTTTAAAGTCGAAATTTTAAAAATGAGTTTATACTTTTTTCCCCCACAAGAGTATATATTGCTTTGTTTATTTTAGTAGTGGGTGATACTACTATTTTTTTTATTTTTTAAGTTTCATTTTCTGTTTATTTTTTCTTAATTATTTTTAAAGGACTCAACTACTCAATGATGTATTGGGGTCAAACAATACTTGACATATTCCATTGTGATTATCATATGATTTTCCTTAATTTTTGTTTTCTATTGTCTTTGTCATTAATTATTTAAAGTGGAGGCAACACTCAAGGACAAGAAAAGGCACGAGGTTAGAAACTGAAGCTGAAAAAAAAAGTGAGATCGACTGGTTAGCAAGAACATGGGGTTTGGCTGCTGCATTAGCTCCAAATACTAGATCATTTTTATTTTTGACATTGTTTACAAGTTGGTTAACTATCTTTTTTTCCTATGTTTGATGGACAAATAGAAGAAACTTTAGCAAGACTATCTAAGTATAAATACCACCCACATCCATAAGTTTTATTTACCACCTAGGTTTAGATCACACTATGTTCAGGTAACTATTTCACTAGGGGGAAAAAAAAAAAACTTATCAACAAAATTTATAAGTTGATGTTGTTCTTGGAAGAGCATCGTGGGAATTGAGGGAATGATTGGGGTATAATAAATTTAGATATTTGACAGCACTAACGTGGGAGAACAAATCTAAATGGGTCCTTCAACGTATCTTTTGCAGTACACCTTCATAAAGATAATGATCCAACTAGTCATCATCATCATTCGGACAAAATATTTTAGGGACATTGCTAGTGTTGGGTTTAGACAATAGGCTACTTTAAATCTGGTAGACGAAACTTGTCATTCCCTAAAAAAACAAACAAACAAATCTGGTACACAACAAAGAAAATACTATGTTGTTCAATCATATTCCAAATATCTAAGCAAACATCATCCCGTGTAGCCCCTACAACACTCTAGCAGATTTTGTAAAGTCTATTAATGCCTTACTCACCCATTACCAATTAAGTGAACTTCTCGTAGAAAAATTGAAACAATCTACTAAACAGACTTTTGTTATGTTTACAGAGGCATTTTAAGAAGTATATGCTCCACTGCTCCGAAGCACTCAACTTGCAAGTGGTGCATCTTTGACAGGTAATGGTCAGTTCAGTTCTCTCTGTTTACAACTGCACAAAGGAAACCATTTATATTGGAAATAATGAAAACAAGAGTTCAGTTTAATGGATGGGTTTGAGAGTCTTGGAGAGTATCATCAATTTTAAGCTAGGAGAGGAGTGAGGACATCCATCAGATTTGTAATAACGCCCACCTTTTTGTATTATTATTGGGCCTAACAATAGATTGAACCCCAACAAAAGTCCACACTGAATGATATTATAAAAATAGAGAGTAGGGGGGAAGCAAGCCTCTATAAGAGCCCATTAAACCAAAAAGTTCACCACACTCAAGTTGTATGTTTTTGCAAATCATACGGTAGCAACAAGAGCTGACACGAATTCATAAGAGAAAGGCACTGTAAGCACAGCATCAAGCCACTCCACTTTTCCCCACATCTCTTCAAAGTTGCGTCTCTGAAGCGCAATCACCGCACACCAAATCTCCTTGTCTCCACTGGAAGGCAGATACTTATCCCACAAAAACGCCATCTTCCCACCATAATTCTCCAATTTGACATAACCAGATTTAGCAAACATTGGCAGCAACCCATCCAAACCTTTCAAACGTATCCAGTACCTTATCCTAGAGTCGTACCATCTTATCCCATGAGACTCACTATAACAATATAATATGTTATCTATCACACAATCAGGATTCTCTAACCATCCTAATTCCAAACAAACCTCTTCTAAAGCTTTCCACCTATTTGCATTTGGCTTGTAAGCCACACCCCAAGTTCCATACATGTAGATTTCTTCGTCAAGCACCGCGCTCCTCCATACGTGACTTCCACATCTCTCCCTGAGAGGGCTCAACACATGCTCCCAACTTTGCGTTTTTGGATCGAAGACCTCCATCCATTTTGAGGAATTGTATTCTTTACACCCTCCTGCTACATATATCTTTTCATCAAGAACGTTCACCGCTGACCAATACCGTTCCACCTGCATACTCGGGCCCTCTCGACACGTGTGACACCGACAATCCAAGACCGAGACTTTAGACAAAGGCGCATTGTAAATGGATCCGCCAACGTTGTAGATATTAGAACCAACGGCCACTAGATTCGAGGAGCGCACAGGAGGATAATTGGGAATTTGGAGTGTAGCAAAGACATACCCACTTGACTTCTTCTTCTTCTTCTTCTTCTTGCTAAAGGATTGATCAGGTTTGCGGCAGAGAGTGAACCAACGTGTGTTTGGGCCATGAATCCCATTATAGTACTGAAAGCACACATAGAGACAGATCTATGTGTGGCCTAAGAGCGATCGGATCTTGTAAAGCTCCGGTGAAGTAATGAGTGATCGGAACCTCTTGGATACTAAAGAGAGAGTTGGGTAGTACAATCTCGAGACACGTGCGAAGCAGCTCAACAGCAAATCATCGGGAAGTGACTCGTTAGGGGTACTAGGTTGTGGCAAAGGTAAGAGCACCGGAACCGGAAGAGAGGGCTGCTCGGTAGACATCATCTTGTTCTGTGTGGACGACATTGAATGAGCTTGGTTCGCGTACCACTAGTGCAGAGGAGAATTTGATACATAGATTTAGGGATGGTGACGTTGACCACAAGAGTCAGCTCTACTATTTGCGCGGGATAATGTAGTCCACAAAACTGCAAGAGGACTAATTCAATTATGGACTTCAATATAGATTTTAGAGAATTGTAAAACAGAAACGTTTCATATAATGTGGTGAGTTCACTTTCTTCCAAACTTTTTTAATACTAATTGACAAGAGATTTTTTATTGACCATAATCTCATTTCTTAAATTTTGCATTTTCAGTTTCCTTGTGTATTTAAGTTTTGCTGAAACAAAAAGAAAGAAAAACAAAACTTTGTTAGTGTATTATTTTATTTTTGCTTACTTTTTAATATTGTAATCTCTAAGAAAAATAATCACGTGTACCTAAAATTTACAGTTACAACTAACTGTATTTAATTTTCGAGCTTTAATTTCTACCACAATTACACAATTTAAAGAACAGACACAAAATCCATGTGAGTCAAAATCCAACAAAACCAATGAAAACTATATCTACCCAATTGACAAATGTCACGCCTACTTTATTTATGTTATTATGTATAAAGTTTTCTTGTTTATTCTCCCTAAACCAAAGAAAAAAAGAAGAAAACGAATCCAAGGAATCTTTCAATCTCATCCAAAGATAAAAACTTTCAAAACATATAATCAAAGCTGGTTTGAAGTTTCAAGTAGCTATGGTGGGTCAATCAGTAGAGTAGGTAAGCATTTTGAATCTAATCATAAACCAAAACTTGTTAAATCTAGGTAAGGATTCTAATTTCTAACTATGTCCCCATATGATTATAAGTTTTTGAAGTTGAACTTTGGATCGTTCTGTTTAGTATTATTATTGATTTAGCTTTTGCTTTTACACCCCAAAAAAAGGGGAAATATATTTCATATGATAATATCCCTTGCGCTCTCTCTCTGGGCACGTAGTCCAAGAACTTTAAAACACGTTCCGATAAAGGAGGGAGGGAGAGAGGGAGAGAGGGAGAGAGAGAAGATGAAGAATCAAACACAGATTCAAAAGACATTCCTATCCTTCTAAATTGTCTTTTTCTTTCCTCTTCTTTGCTTGGAACAACTTTTGGATTCTCCTCCTTCCTCTCCCTCCGGTTTATCCCGCCGTTTCTTACATTTTCCTCTGTTTTTTTTTCTCGGGAAACAGTAGGAAAATTTTCATTTTTTTCCCGGAAGGAGAGATCTTTGTGAATTAGGTAGCTGCCCATATCTTCAAGTCTTGTCTCGAGGTACAAAGATTATATTTTTTTCTTGTGAATCACTTTCTTTGGGTCTTGTGAATTATGAACTTATCTTCTCTTTCCGCTGAGCCGAAACTTTCTTGCATTTGGTTTAATGGTAATGCTTGTTTATTCCAGGTTGTGTGGCTTCATTGTTGTGGTTAATTCAATTGGAGGATGAAACAAAGGTTACTGCTTTTATTAGATTCTTAAAAGCTAGGGTTTTTGCGAACGTGCTTAATCTGTCTGTATCTTAGCATTTGAGATTTGGGTTTTGGGTATATAACCCATGGATTCAGAATTGAGATTTGCTTCAAGAGATGTGGTGAAAGGCTGTGATTTGGGTTGTGATTATTCTCTCGAGGCATCTTCTTCAGACCCTTGGACTAGAACGGTGAAAAGGAAGTTCAACGAATTCAAAGAAGGGAACATGTTGTTGCTACGAGGTTCTTCTGATTCGTCTTCAAACGCTAAGGTACTAGTTGAGAACGAATGTGCAGCTTTACTGGAGGTTCTTTCTACCCAAAGGAAAACAGTGAAAGATCTTCATTTAGAGCTTGAAGAGGAGAGAAACGCTGCTGCATCAGCTGCTAACGAGACAATGTCGATGATACTGAGGTTGCAGAGAGAAAAGGCTGAGATACAGATGGAAGCTCGGCAATTCAAAGCGTTTGCTGAGGAAAAAATGACTCATGACGTAGAAAAGCTCTTGGTTTTGGAGAATTTGTTGTATGAGAAAGAGCAAGCTATCGAGGCTTTGACTTATGAGGTCGAAGCATACAAGCATAGATTGTTGAGCTATGGGGTATCTGAAGCAGAGATGCATGAGCAGATACTTGGTTTTGGCAGAGACTCTAGCTCACCTGGTTTTGATGTTTACCCGTGTGAGTATACTTCTTTGAAATGTACTGTGGATGAGAACCCGAGCGGACCAGACTGTAATGTTGAGACTGAAGAAAAGGTGATTGTTGGTCAGTCTCCAAGATGGCCGTATTATGATCCAAATTCGCCTTTAGGAACTGCAAAAGATATAAAGGGGACATCTTTCTCAGACTCTCCTATGTCTAGTTGTAGTGACAGAGTTTATACTATCGACTCAATTCACGTGGGAGTTTCTGAAGTTAAGATTGACGATGAGCCTAATAAGATGAGTAAAGGAAAGTTAAATGATCACTGGAATTCTCCGAGATACCAAGAACCGTTTACAACTCAGCAAGGAGTTAACAAGCCAGATATCGAGAAACTTTACACAAGACTTCAAGCACTTGAGGCAGACAGGGAATCATTGAGACAGATCATTGTATCAATGCGGACAGACAAAGCTCAGTTGGTGTTGCTGAAAGAAATCGCACAGCAATTAACAAAGGAAGCCGGCACAACAAACAGGCGAAACCCGATTAGCAAAATGCCATCTTTGAAAGGTTTCTCTGTAGTAACGGTCTTCAAGGTATGTAATCATATAATAATCTCTTCTATCTAACTCTCTCATGTTGCGTATTGCTTTCTGAGTACGCCTGATATTTACTCTTTGTTGCTCTTGTGTTTCAGTGGATTGTGTCTTTCGTTTCTTGGAAAAGAAAAGCCAGCCGAAACAAGTGAGCAGATTTAAATAGACTTCTTCTTTGGTTCACATTTCCTATTATTGCCTTCTGATGAATTCAATTATAAATTGCATTGCAGGTATGTGTATGAGTTGTCAGCAAATAACATGGGGATGCTCATGATTCTAGGCGAGGGATGTGGAACCAGGAGATGGAGATGTTTAACAAGTTCACATGTCTAGATTTTTCCATTTTTTTATCAGGTTTCTTTGGAGTAGTTAGTGCAACATAAATGTACATTGCTCTGTAGTCTGTACTCGAATCAAAATATGTACGGATGGTTCAGAATCTGGTTGAATATATTAATCAAAAGTTGGGAGAAAAAATTCTCCTTTTTCTGGCTCTTGTATATCCTCTGGACAAGATCATAACAGTAACAGAGTTTGATACAATAATGTCACTAGATGATATGCATTAATAGATAAAGAAGGTTCAAACCAACGTTTTCTTGTGCATTGCCAACAAAAGTGTTTCTGGATATGTTAGCCATATTACCAATAACATTACCATTGGGTTGATGACTTGTTGTTGAGGACATTCACTCATACATATAATGATGAAAACCAGAAAAATACGAATGATTCAAAGCAAATACAGATCACGAGGGAGACAACGAAACCGTGTAAGACTTGTTGCAATACTTCAAGCTCTTAAGATAGCCTGACTGTAGCTGAGGACATATCACTGCTCCAGGAATGCCAGGTGCATCGTATGTTTCTCCGTCTTCTATGACTCGAGACTCAGGGTTGGACTTCTCTGGGACTTGTGCTAGACCAATGTTTAAGTTAACTGAGGTTGGCTCAGTCACAAAGCTGAATTAAACTCACAGAATGTTAGAATTTCCTAAAAAAGACTGAAAGTTTTTGGTTCGGAAGAAAAAAGTAGGGTTTTTGCATCAACAAACCTGGCTTCAAAGTTTTGTCCATTCGCACCCACATTTGCACAAATATTGCTAATAATCCACGGCGGAAGATATTCGCCTTTAATCTCAACACAGCTACTTGTATGTTTTGTTCTTACTGTCTCTGTGCACTTGATCTGGAGATCAAAGAACAAATACTCACTCTTCAGTGTTATAATATAGAATAAGGGAAGTCACGACAAGAGAACCACAGACTACAGAGTAAACCATTTAATGTGTATTTATACCTCAGGAGAAGACACTGAAGCATTCTGAAATGGGACTGGTGAATATAATACAGGAACGTCTGCAGTGGGAAGAAATCCAAAAGAAGACCTACACATGATTGAAAAATAATAGTTATAGTCATTTATCAAAATTAAGTTAACAAGATTTAAATGAGCACAATATGAAATTTATTCTCCAAAAGAGATGTTTATTCGCACCTATAATTTAACAAAAGATCATACAATCCATGTACGCTCTCATTTCCAACAAAAGCCAAGAACGATTCTGGAGTATTATCTATGTTTGAGATAGAACGCAAACGACGAACCTGCATCCATTACAAGGATCAGAAACAGAAAAATACGCTAATAGTCTCTCATATAAGCAGGTGCTTCACATGGTTCCCAAGAGTGAAAGATACATGTAGACAGAAATATATTTCCTGAATAGAGAACTAAATGCGCACAAACCTGGCCGAGGTTATGATTCTCTATCTCTGAGAGTTCAGCAAGATCTTCAACAGTAGTCTGGTCCTTTTTAGTTTTGCAAAGAGGCATAGAATAGCAGATGTCCTGTGAAAAACATAGTCAAAACAAACTTAGTAAAGTATGGATGACCACTTCTTGAAATGTCAGCACAAGACTTATATACCATATGAGGAAAATATAAATGGATAATGTAATAGTTCTCTCTTTACGTCTCAAGGAATGCAAAACACAAACAATCTACGTAAACTATATAAGGCAAAAGGCTTAACAACACTGAGGGAACATATCTTACAAGATCTTTAAGCATGGCTCTCAATCTTCTAGTTGACTGGGTGATATAGCCATTGCATGAGCGTTTAACACCCCCTGACTCACAGCTTCCGATGAACATTGCCACGAACTGAGAAGTACAGACTACAATCCAAATAATGCACAATTAAGTTAAGTTTCATTTCAAGAGTTTGGCATACGTATCATTGACTTTAAGAGAGATGACGGACTTTAAGAGAGATGGAAAATAGCAAAGAAGCTGTGCAGTAAGTAAATTCACATTTTAATAACACTAAAGGTTGATTCGATTTTCCTGCACCTTTGCCAAGACAAAAATGTTAAAGCAAGGTTTTAACCAAGTGCTTCTAAACGAAAGTGTTAATTAACTATACACAGAAGGATATATGTTTGCCGAAGAAAATTCCACCTACATGCGTTATACCAAAGAAAAATTGCATCTAAATCAGACAAAAATAAGATGGAGTTACCATAGAATATTTTGCAGATATTCTTCCGAAACATATAATATAGGCTTCGAAAAGCATCCTCCCATTCCAATTTTCGTTTTTGTAGGAAATCAACTTCACCTAAAATAGCAAAATGAGGATCTCTATATATAATTAAGAAGGAAGATGACTGACAAGAAGGTATAGCTCAAGAACTTTCATTAACAAACCTCTGTCAGATCCAGATGCTAACCATGCTGATATTATAAAAGGTGGCAAGGAGGACTGAGGATAAATCCACGAGTGTAGTGACATAGGATTTAAAACCTGGGTAACCACATCAGATCCAGAACTGCTACTGCTATCTAGATTTACCACATTACACGACGGCAACTTCAGCTGTGGCATACCATTGTACGTACTACACATAATTGACCTATGTAACCTTGAACAACATTAGAATGGGAAATAAAAGCTTGCGTCAAACTTCGGATCCAAAAGAAAAGCACTAGGTCAACATAATTTAATAAGAAAAAGAAGAGAAAATAAAGGAATACTTCTGTGTGTGAACAAAACATATTTTCATCAAGCATCATCAGTTAGTGGGTTATGAGTCAAATTAATACGAGATGTCAAGGATAAATCCCTCAGATTCAACTACAACCAACATATGATTCTGTTCTAATTACACTCTGTACAGGAATGTCCGAAATGGCTAAACTCACCAATTTAATGGAGAAGAGGAAACAAGTCGGGCATATGTCTTCATGGAAAGGTCCAGAGGAATCTTTTGCCCAGGAACTTCGAATTCGGACATGAAACTTTCACGTAATGAAGCAGTCTCAGATGTCCCAGCTATGTCACCAGGATGAACAAGCAAAGGTTCACAAGTGGCAAGTCCTTTCAATGCTTTATTCTGTTGAAAGATGATATCAGTTCCACCAGGACCAGATACATAACCAACTGAGAGTAAAAAGATTATCAAGGGAAGCATACCATATCAATATCTGGCAAGCAAGATAAATCTTCACCCCTGGTTGAAAGTTCCGTGACACTGCGAAATATGCTCTGGCTACATCTCTCATTTGTTTGACGAACTTCACCCTTAATATCATCAGAAACTTCAGTAGAAACATTATTCTCCTCACTGCCAAGAAATCAAAACATTAACATAACTTAAAGCACAGAAAGCCAGCTGACTCCAGATAGAAAGTGCTGAGGGAGTTTACCGAATAAGTTGCCTTTTGTTGGCAGCAACATTTGAGAGAAAAGAAACATTGATTAGGCTGCTGGATTGCTTCACACCATTTTCCTGTGGCAAAGAAAAATAAATTAATAAAAGAGATGTACACTAAACTACAATTGTTTTTATAGAATCAAAAGGAATCAAGGTTTAGGATGAGAGAGGTCACGAACCTTAGAGTTTTCTTTACCAGAGAGCATCCAAGGCCTAGCCTTTTTGACAGGATATACTTCATCCATACGCATCTCTATGTACTTTGGATTCTTCGAAAGCTCTTGTTTCTTGAGCCCATTTTCTCTCTCAGCACTACAGCCAAAATAATCAAGTAAGAAAAATAAAAGTTCAAAAACTTGAAGACATGATGATTTTTTACCTTTTACAAGGGCGCAATGCATCAAAAGCTTCTTTAGCTTGGTCAACAAACGCAGTCCGCTTCAGTTGTTCTCCCTGTTCCAGTGAGGATGGTATTTGAATAAAGAACCATTCAAAGATAATTTCCAAAAACTCGACGAGGAAAACCTAAGGGAAAACATTGCACAATGAAGAGAAAGAAGCAAACATACTCTCAGTTCAGAGGGCGTCTTCCTCTTAGGTTTCGGCGCAGCTTTTGAGCCGCCACTGATCTGAAGAGAGGTACCAAAAGTACCAGGAGCAACTACTTTCGCCATTTCCAAATGATACTGTTCGCTTGATCTCCCAATTTATTACCTACACTAAAATACCAAATATGAGAATCCCATTCTAATTCCATTGACCAGCAAGATCCTTTTTCAATATTACAAAATCATAAAGTCATCCACACAATCCCAATTCAAACAGTATGAACCCTAGAAATTGGTGGGTAAGCACCGGCGAAGAATAGACAAAGCGAAGAATCGAGAATTACAAAATGAATCAGAGATAGGAGCATACTCACCACGCTCGATGGTTAATCTCTTAGCGATGGAGACATATAAACCCAACGGCGTAAGTGATGGCGAAATCGATGTCGCCGATTACGAGCTCGTCGCGGTTTGAATCTCCACGGCGAAGCAGGCTAGGGCTTCTTTCTTTTTTTTTTTTAATTTATTCTCTCTTTTGTTAATTTGGGGGAAGCAAACAAAAATGGTGTAAGTGAGATTGGAGGGAAGATGAAAGAGCGTGAAATCTAAATAGCTTTTCAAATAAATTGGTCGAAATTTTTTGTTCGGGTTCCCTCCTGTAATGTTTTTGTAACAGCGAAACTAACGCTGTTAGTTTACTATACCAATGTTGACTCTCAGACCATGGACTAATTTCGATTTCCCGGTTTAAATAAATGTAAAAAGAACCGAGGAAACAGAAACATTCTGTTCGGTTTTGGTCCACGTTAAAGACATTAGACCGGATTCAGTCATGTGAAATCATATCGGTTTATGTCTCGGGTTCTGGATTCAGTTAAACCGGATTGAACTCCCTGTGCAACATTATTCCAAATATGAACAAAAAATTTGACTAGTAGCAATCAGCCAAACTTGGTCGAATCAAATCCATCTCACCTTTAACATACATATATAATCCATCTCATCTCACCTTTATCATGTCATTTCCATTCATATTTAAAAAAAAAAACACTTCATAATAAAGTGGTTTAATTTTAGAGATAACAAAAACAAAATTCTATCAGCTTAGCTTCAATGAATAAATTATTAAATGTAACGAAATAAAAAATTTTAAAAATACATGTCTCTAGTAAAAATAAATAAAGCTTGGTCATAGAAGGAGAATGAATAGTGTTGGGCTCAGTCATATGATCAACAGCTTGTAGCCTATCAATGTATGGCCTTCTTCTGTATGCTCTCTCCTCCAACGGTGCCTATTCATCAGTCAAAAAAGCAAATCTTTATATATATATATATATATATATCAGTTTAATAGATTTTCCGACACACGAAGATTACAACATCTTGCATGTAAAGAGACCTGTTCGTATTTTTAATATTAATTAACTTATAAGCACCAAGATCCAACTAAATCGTTACAGAGACACGTGCTACAACGAGGGATCACGTGCCAAAGCAGGGCCTAGCTAGCTGAGGAATCCATGTGATAAACACATCATGGGCACATGAGGCCATGACTGACATCGACTTAATAACGTGACCAACTTGTGTATGCATGTGTGCGTATGTCTCATCGGATTGTATTTTGTGCATATATACAGTGTAATAACATAGATGAATAGACAGAAGCTATATATACATAACTCTATTCGTTTAACCATAACAGTATTAGTTATTTGTATAATTACGTATATATGTGAACAAATGTTAAGTCTGATGCACATCTTTTACTAAATGATGATTGCATTGGCCAGTAGTATTCAGTTAGCAAAATATGTTCATTAGTTATAAGGTTTAGAAGTAGAATGACAAATACCTGATACTGATATGGGAGGAGTAGAATAAGAAAGGGGTTTCGAAAAGGAAGGTGGTGGAAACCCGATGGCTTGAGACTGATGATAGGGATAGACAGTGTAGAAAGGCACCACTGGACTTGCCCCAACCATAACTCGTCCTCCACTATACATATGATGGTGGTAATATTGTGGTTGCGGTTGCATCTGAGCATAGTGTCCGTTCATATATGTTCCTCCAACGTATCCAACTTTCTGTTAATTAAGTCCATCACAAAACAAAAACAAAAGTGTTTCGTAAGTGAAAATTCATTGTTTCAACCACATTGATTTTTGTTTTCTTTGAATAAAGAAATCATAAGACTTACTTGATTGAAGGTCATGTTCGGGGCGACGTAGGTGGAAGGGTACCTTAATTTAATATATATCAACACCGGACAAATCAAATATCTTATTAACTTACGTACATCTTGAAGAAGATTAGACCGTAGAAAACAATTTACCCATAGTAAGGAACGGCTTGGTGAAGTTGTTGTGGGTGAGGTTGATGTTGATGGTGTGTGTATCCAGCCGGGTAGTACCATTGAGCTTGATTCCCTACAAGTGATGGCGTGGCCCTGTTCCCATTTTTTTGTCCTTCATGTGTCAAAAACATCATTGATGATAAAGTTAATATTGGTTCTGAAAATTTTGATATATATATGGGTCTAAGAAGTTTGAATAATTATGGGAAAGTAGCTAGACTTTCGATTCCACTAATTTTAAGATTTAATCCTTGGAATGTCCCATATCTATGGGAATGTAAATCAATAGACCTGCCTAGATAAAGCACTTTGCATTATATCATATACATGATATCACACGATCCACATCCATATGCATGCAAAATTAACGATTCCCTTCACAATTATTTTCCTAGATGTGACATTATAATAATGGCCAATAGTTATGTGTATAATTATTTTATATATGAAAGTTTTTGGATGGACCTTGTTGAGGAGAGGCCATGGTGGGGGATTTACGAAGGCGACCACCACCGAGGGAGGCGAGATTGCAGTTGGCACGGCGGCCATTGATGATAGGAGTCGAGTCTTCGCAAGCTCTCTTTGCAGCTTCCGCATCTTTGAAAGTCACCTATATACAAAAAGAGTAATTTAAGACAAAAATGAGAAAGGAACAAAGAAAACAAAGTAATAAAAAGAAGAAAAGAAAAGAGAGAGAGATCAAAAGAACAGACAAAGCCGTAGCCTTTGGAACGGCGAGTGAGTTTGTCGGAGATGATGACTGCCTCCAAGATATCACCATACTTGATGAAATGATCATACATTGCTTCTTTGTGAGTGTCCCAAGCCAATCCTCCTACGAACACTTTGGTCAGCTTCGTGTCTCCGAAACATCCGTTCACGTTGTTGCTCGTCGACATTGGATCGTGTGTTGTGTGTGTGAGAAAAGCGAGAGAGAGAGATCAGAGAGACAAGAGAGAGAGAAGGAGAGAGTGAATTGAAATATATATAAAAAGAGGGAATATATAATATAAAGAATAAAGAATTTGTGTAAAATAAAGAGTGACAGATTGGTGGACAGGTAAGTCTTAACGTGATCACTACACCGTTCAATATGTCTCTATTCACTTCTCTTATACATATATATCTATGCCTCTCTCTTGATACGATCGGGAATACAGTCCCGGCGGCAAATGTAAATTAATAATTCACTACCACTAGTATATATATACGTACTGCAATGGCCGGATGGACCATGCATGCGTTTCGGCAATGTTGTTGATTAATTAGTCCTACCCATGTAAAACCGGTGTTTCGGACGGCAAAATCTATTACAATTATATGGTATGGCCTTCATTGTTTTTGTTTTTTTTTTAAATGTGTCGTGGTGCAATGATGAGTTCAGCTCGATTGGATTCATGAGATCTGACCCAACTATTATTTCTTGTTATTGTTTTACATGTATTAGTTGATGATCAAAAAAAAAAAGTTTTACATGTATTACATAAAACTTTAAAGAAAACAAGTAACGGTTCTTCTTTCCGATACAATTACGGAAAATATTCTAAATCCTCCGAGTTTTGTAAATTCGTTATACATAAAATTATCACGGAACATGAAATACACTTGAAAATTTAACCCAAAAAAAATGAAATATACTTGAATTATATTTAAAAGAAAAAATTTATAAATTTTTGTCATCCACCGTGTTGACAAGCATATTCACAAGGACGATACGTTGGTGATTTATCCCGATCTTGATGGTTATGGCGATGTAACAATCAACAACCAAAATAAAAAGTAAAAACTATTAATCGAACTGAAGGTTGTTCAGATTCCTGTGCACTCTTTTGGATTTGGATCAGACCATGATGCTTCAGTGATGCACTCAGTCTCTGAATTATCCGGTGGAACTTTCTCTTTCATTGAAAGTGAGTCTGTGATCCAGGATGCTCTTGCGCAGTGCATCGGTGGACTTTTAAGCGTTGCAGTGCTGCAGGAGCTACGAGTAGATATTGAAGGTATGTGCCCAAATGTTCGAATTAGCTCAATAAAAGCAGGAAGTTACTCTAGCCTTGTAACTGGTGATGGCCACTCGGGATTGGTTGATTTTGGTGATCTTTATGCCGATGAAGAGAGGGATTTCTTGGTTTCTATCACCATCCCTGTCGAGGAAGATGGACATACACCATTGTTAAAGCTGAGATGCGTTTATATAGATTCTTTGACAAAGGAAACTACAAAGCTTGAAAGTTACGTGCTTCAGATTCAAAGACCAGAAAATGTTAGTGAAAAAGAAGCTGTTCCCATTGAAGTTGTTAGGCAAAGAAACAGATTCTTAGCTGCAGAGGCAATGTACCAAGCAAGAAATTTAGCAGAGCATGGAGATTTAGAGGGAGCCGTTACAGTGATTGAAAAGTTTAGATTGGTTTTGGCAAAGGGGGTTACAGCAAATTCCCATGACAGTTTTTGTGCTGCTTTGGAGTCAGAGCTGAAGGAAATACAAGATAGAATGAGGAGTAGTCATGTCTACGAGGCATCCGGAAGAGCTTAGAGCAACATTATTGGGAGGTATAACATACTCTCTTTGGTGAATCTTACCTTTAAATCCTCTTTAAATCCTCCCAATAATGTTGACCTTATATTCTTTCCGGACTTAGCTCACACTCATGGCAAAGAGCAACAGTGAGGGGAAATTCAAGGGACGGTTCTAGCTTTGTCCAGGCTTATCAGACTCCATCAATGGCTGAGATGCTGCGCCAGTCACAGGCCATGTTTCTGGTTAGTCCATCACATCAGAGATTCATCCAGCCCTTGCTATCTTTTGCTTCACAACCAAAGCCAAGGTAACGAACAAATTTTGATTTCAATCCAATGTTTTGTACGAGTAGTTTAGTGGAGAGCTTAAACTTGTTTTATCTGTAAAGGAAACAAGCAATGTAACATAGATATGATGAATAGTGAGTGGGTTTATAGTAGGGGATTATCTTTTGCAGTAAAACTTCATTTGCCTATATATACCCGAAACTCACAAATTGCACATACATTATACATATACCTACTACACAGCAACATTAACACATTACACAACAAGAAGCCAACACAAAAAGAGAGAAGACACTACTCGCCAGCTAATGTTCTTGGCAAAATGAAAAGAGAGAATAATTTTTTCTAGCAAAATAAATCTCCCGAGGGAAATGTCTAAATGCAAGAGTGCATCTCTGTCTCTTCATGAATCATGATCTACCTTTCTTCATCCTTGCATCTCTCTGGTTTCGGAAGTGGCTAAGAAGTTGTTGTGCCTGCAAAGAACAATAATATTCAGATATCTTTGATCGAAAGGAAACCGAACTTGGTGTCTTTTTTGTGTAACCGCAGAAAACGAATATAGTATTAACCTTTTCTTTTGCTCTCTGTGTACCAGACTGAGACAAGGCAACAAGTGGAGGTATGGCGCCTTCTTGCAAGACCAAAGTGCAAAACTTCGGACTGTTCAAGCACAGCTGAAGTAGCACAGAAGCTGCATTCTCTTTCCCTCTCTGAGATCCCAAGTCAACAGTCTCAACAAGCAATGGAATCCCACCTTCCCTCACAATTGCTTGACGCCCTTCTCCAACTGCAGAAAGATTTGCAAGAAGAGCAACTGCTTTATCAACCATCTCTAATTCTGGGTCTAATAGCTCCACAAGATACTTCACCGCCTTAGCTTGCACGATACGAGCCTTGTTTTCATGAGTTATCGATAGATTGAACAAAGCAGAGGCGGCATCTTTCTTTCCTCTAAATGTTCCTTTCCCAAGAAGATTCACCAGAGCCTGTATCGCTGCGTTAGACTGGCCTATTCGTTCCCTGTTGACTGGCAGAACAGACAGACTGAACAATGTTGCTGCTGAATTCTCTTTGGCTCTGTCATTTCCTGTGTTCAAAACATGAACAAGCGGTTCTAAAGCCCCCGCTTCCACAATTGTGGCTTTGTTTAGTTCACTAATTGAAAGATTCAGAAGAGCTGTGACTGCATGTTCTTGTGATAGCTTTTCTTCCGAGTATAAAAGTGATAGCAGTGGAGTAATAGCACCACAACGCCCGAAGTGAACACGATTTTCAATGCTGTTAATGGTGAGATGACGTATTTCAGCTGCAGCAGCCGTCTTCACTTGGTGAGATCCACTTTTAAGATCTTCTACCAATTTTATGGTATGTGAAGTTGTCATTGTTCCTGAATCATCTAAATCTTGTACAGAACACTCATAAGTCTTTGTTGCGGTATGCTCATTATTTACATTGCTTGAACATTCTGAGTTTTTCTTGGGAGACATCTCACTGGAGCTTTGGTGATCACCTAGTATACTTTCCATCTCATGTGTCACCGAAGGCACATAATCAACAGACGAGACAACACTGCAAATTGATTCACTCCTGCTATGAGTGTAAGACTGCCCCGAAGACAAAAGTTCGAATATATCAAGATCCTTGCTTTGAGATTCCCCGCATAAACTGGCAGGCACGTTGATCTTTAGTTTCTCAAATCCATTTCCAGTTTCATGAGATGATCTTGAGTTAAAACTGCTGCTTCTTAAAGAAAAACGAAAACTTTCGGTGCGGTTGAAGTCCTGAGAACCCATGTTATTAGCCATGGATGAGGCATCACCACCAGCATGGCCAGAGTTAGCAGGAAGGCTGATCCTGTTTGCCTCCAACCAACTCGCTATCATAGCCTTAACCGTGTAATTGGGAATGAGTTCTTGATGAGTCAGCACCTGCCGTGTCCTGGGACAAACAGCTAACCCGTTATCAAGCCATTTCTTAATGGATGTTCTGTCAAATGTCTGCCCTGAAGCTACAATTACCGGATCCAGCATGAGTTCCGTTGACAAAGGACATCGGAAATATGGGGGTATCGAGATACCTTTAGCCACTTCAAGAAACTCAGTTTTGAGCATGTGTTCACGAATGCACAAGACTAGTTCTATCAGTTGTTCGATTTGTTCCACATTTTCTTTCGACTTGCTGGTCTGGGATCTTATCCTTTCCTTCTCTACAGCAATGCTTTCCTTCAAGAGATCCTGGTTTGATATCAATCCTAACATTTGAATGATGTTTTCCAGATGATGGTTATCCAAAGAGGTAATATCGTCTTTCTGATGTCGTAAAGCGTTCTCCATGAGTTCGGTTAATGTCCCCTCTTGCTTAAAACTCTCAATCTCCTGGACGCAGCGCTGAAATCGTTCCAAGAGATCAATACAAAGTGGCAGCAATAAAGACACAAAGAGCAAGAAAATGAAAGATTTCTAGTTTACCTCAACACCTTGTACGCTTGAAGTGTCTGGACTTAACTGTGATAACTGAAGAAGTATGCGACTAATCTCGAGAGAACAAGTCTGGACCTTTCCAAACAAAACCTCGCATTGAAACACCTGCACAACAGCAACACACTGAATAATGCTGAAAGATGCAAAGAAACTGAAAAGGAGAGAGAGCTTATGCATCAACTCACACCAAAAAGCTTGCTCAACTTAGGTGACCAGTCCTCTAAGAACTCCCGAGCCTGGTTAACAACGGAATCAAGGTCTTCACACCCTTTATTTAAGCAGTCATCATCAGAAGGTAATTTGCAATCAACAACTTGGTCGAGCAACGGTCTCAAGAGCTTCAACAAGAGAACCATATTTCCAATACATGTTTGGATAGGATTAAATCTAATGGTCTGGCAAGCAACCAGATGAAGATACCGAGAGATGCTGTTAAGAAGACATCGAACAGGCACAGGATCCATTCACCTATCAAGCTGGAGAATACACACACAAAAAAAAAAAAACAGAACACACACATCAACTTGTGAAATATTCTAATCTTCGCAATAGACACAGTGATGATGACTTTGAAAGAGTGTCGGTTCCTAGAAATAGATATCAAATTGGTTCAGATTTGTAAGTGTATTACATGAACTGTATCTTCAACACAGATATTCTGAAGGAACAAGACATTAAAAAAAAAAAGAATGGACTTTTGAAAAATTTGTCTTTCAGACAAGACTTGACTTTTGACTAGATTCAGTCACCTCTTATGGAAAAAGAGGAAGTAAAATTGAAACAGAGACTTGAAGACATTCTCTACAGATGTTTCTGCTTTCTAGGTTTCTCTTTTGCCTTATTTTTAAACTATTATTCTCAGTTCAGTTCTAATAAAGTTGGGGAAAACAACAGAAAACAAAAGAAAAAGAAACTGATTCTCTCTTGAATCTAATACTCTAGAAAAAATCTCAACAAACAAGAAAGACAATTCAACCAAATATGAGAGAACCCCGAAGACAGGAAACTCAAAAAAAAAAACCCTAACAAAGTTCGAATTGGGAAAAGAAATAAATGTAAGTAGGTGGAAGATGACAGTAGATAGATACCGGAGATAGATACAGCTGATTCTTGAAAGCTGGAAGAAGAAGGGAATCAATCAAGAGAACAAGAAGATCATTCGCGAGCTTCCAAGTGAAGAAAAATATAAAAGAAGAAGTCTCCTAAAGATTGGTTCTTTGCTTACACAAAGAGAGAGAGAGAGAGAGAGAGAGAGAGAGAGAGAGAGAGAGAGAGAGAGAGAGAGAGAGAGAGAGAGAGAGAGAGAGAGAGAGAGAAGAAGAAGAAGAAGAAGAAGAAGAAGAAGAAGAAGAAGAAGAAGAAGAAGAAGTAGAGAGAGAGTAGTAGTAGTAGTAGTAGTAG